AATTCAAAGTCTGGTTTTGCTTCTATATGAAGAATAGCTAAACAAAACAGAATGATTTTTATCTTCTGCAAAGGGCTTAGACAATTATTTATCTTAACATCACTTTTATTGCCAGATTTGCCAGACTGTAGTGGCAGGTTTCTATTGCCAAGAAGTGCAGCAGGGTGGATGTTCGTTTCACCGATTGTTTTCACTTTAAACTCAATTCACAGACTCAAGAATGCAAAGAGGTGGTTAGTGTTAACAACAATCGGGTCCAGTATTTGCAGATGCAGAGACTTAGACTGGCATCTAACTCATTTTTTATATGTCTTTGTAAGTCTTTCTATAAGTCTTTGTGGGCATTTGAATTAAAGACAAAGTATATGCATAAATACATTTCAAAACAAATAGAACAATGAAGGCAATCGTTTCTGTTTATGATAGCTTTTTTATTAATCTTCAGGCTTTAGATTTTAAACAAGTTGACCGTTCTACTCGGTTCTCAGTCATAGCTGCTAACAAAGACCAAGCATGAGATAGTGGGTATTCATTTAGGGTCATTATTGTAAAACTGCTAGGATTAAGTTGTTTTGTTCGCTGTAGTTGTCATGTTAAATTCCTTGCTGGATCAAATGTCATGCTAACACTTGTGGTGTGTGTGGAAATACTTGTTCTTCCCATTTTTATCACTCTGAGCTGCCACAGTCCAACAGATCAGGCGGCATTTGAAATACAGCAATGAAAGAAGCATAACGTTATATAACTGGGAGCAAGAGACTCTCAGTAGGAGCATGGCTTTTGTAAAATGCAGCAGTGCAGTATGCATTAATTTTAAGTAATAATTTATAATTATGCCAAAGGCTTCAGTATTGTAGTAATGTCAGAAAGATGATGTGTTTTTTTGCAGATTTTTTTAATGGATCAGAAATTTACATTAGCTCATCAACATAATCTCGCTTTTATAATTAATTATGCTATTTCCATATTAACTTCCATGTAGCCTGTTTTTGCAGTGTTGATGTTTCTAAACAATTCTGAGGCTAGAGGCCACTTGTGAAAATGATGGTAAAATGCCCGTGAAAACTCAAAATAGTAAATAAAATGGTGTCTGGCTCCTATCTTTGAAGCTTGAGACTGTAAAGGATTATATATATAGGGCAAAGGATTTTTGCACTGCCTTATCATTCAATTCTACCTTTAAATCTGAATGATCTGTGGCAGCTGACCTGACTTCAAATGCATGAAAGTAAGTATTCTGACAACAGAAACTTGGTAATTTTTTTATAGTCATCTTGCCTATCTTCTTCTGTTACCTAGCTTTTGTTGAAACCGGAGTCCTTTACTGCATAAAGTAGTTGTCTGAGAGGTGTGTGTAGGGCTCTTAAAAATGGTAGGTATAACTCTAACCATGTATGTCAGAATCATGTCTGACTTGTATCTGCTTTTCATTTTAATGCTCACTTTTCTATACATACCTGTATTTATGTATGTGTGCGTGTTTGTGAGCAACACGTGCGTGCCCTTTTTCTAGGGTTGTTCCAGTAAGACTTTCTGTACTGGTCGCTGTAAATGTTGACGAGGATTGTAAAGCATCTTAATTTATCATTAAGATAACAAATTATTATTTCCATAACTCTTTTAGCATAATAGTTAAATAAGACACTTGTAGGTGCCAAAACATTTATTCTTATTTGTATTGTAGATAAACTGACAAATTTCCGTGAGAAGTAGCTCAAAAAAACAAATAGTAATATTTACACTTGGCTCAATCGTGCTGTGCTATTCAGCTCCACTTGGTCAAGTAGGAAAAAAAGAGTGCAGCTGTTGGTAGATGAGGGGAGGAGGATTAATATTCTTTGTGGTTCAAAAGAGGAACACATTAACATTCAAAGGGATTTAATCCCTGTAACATGCTTCTCCAGGAACCATGCAAGTCGAGAGAGACCAAGTCCTGATGTCACGGTATACAAGCTGTATTGCCACATGTGTCAGCTTTTTTTATATTAACCTCTATTTATGAAGCCCCCATCATCTCTTAACCTCTCCCGGCTCTTAAAACAAGTGCTTTCCCACCCGCACTTCCCACAGAGGTGGGATTGGTTCTTATTTCTGTTCCTCTTTTTTGTGTGGAGTGAAAGGCATTCCTTTTCCAGCCTGCTCTGTAACACCACTGCAGTAGGCAGCATGGTGCTTTAAGAAAATAGCCAGTGAAATAATAGAGCAATTTAACATTTAATAAAATCATTATGCACACTTCATTTACTAGGTTTAACAGGAAAAACTAAATTTGTGCCAAGAGATTAATTAAAAGGCAGCAGGATGGAGAGGGGATTTAAGGAACTTTTTTTCTTCTCTCAAAATAAAATATACTCAACTTAATACAAAGGGTTTAATTTTTTTTTCCCTCTTGGTTATTTCCCATGGTTTCATTGTTACTCAAAAATTCTATTAAAATACTGGTGCTGACTTGTGCTAGTGTTCACAAGCTCATTTCTTCTGGACCTACTGTGAGGAAGAATTTTTAGCAAGGTGGTGGTTAAAAGCTGGCATCTAACCTGATGGTGGAGCCTTATGAGTGCAGATGTAACAGTATGTGTGGGGAGGCTGCAACCCATGAGTGTTTAGGTACAAGGAGAGAAAGTGGAGCGTGATATGCTGTAACTAAATTTCAAGTTTCATCTTGATAATGCAAGATGATTCATAGTTTATAAGACTATTTTTATCCTTTTATTAGATAGTATTTCTGGAAAGCTGTTTCCTCTTTGTAATCTGTTACAGGCCAGGCCTTTAAGAGTGATGTGCTTAGTGGATCCTACCCTAATTGGTTTTACATGGTAGCTTTTAAAATTAGATTCAAGGGTGCTTCCCAGGCTCTAAGAAGACATAGAATATAGGTCACATTGAAGTTCTTTTCATTCTTAGGATATGCCACGGTGATCAGCATGCACTCGAGCTACACAGACTGTGATTTAATAGGTATATCTTGTTCTCACAATGATAGAAATAAATATTTCTTTGTTTCTCTGCCTAGCTGTTGCCATACACATTTTCCTGCAGCCTTTGAGGCAAAATCACCTCCTGTTTATGGAAAGGACAATTTCCTGACACGTGTCAGATACGTGGATATGTGTATCTTGCAGATAGAGGTCTGGTTAGAGACTTTTGGTGTGGACATATACGATGCAGTTTACTAGCCTTCCCCAAACTGCTCTGTTTACTGAGGCTGCTTTGCAGAGTGGGCTGCTTGGCAGGTTCCTACGGGAACTCTGCAAGTGAAGTGCTCTGTGAAGGTTTGTTTTGTGAAATAAAACTGAGAGCGTGCTTTCTTTCAGTACTTACCTTGAAAGCATTAGAGTTTTCATCTACTTCATAGTATCTATGAAGTAATACTA